AACAAGAATTAGGAAAAATTATTTACTTCTCAACAGAGGTTTCTTTCGCTGCCATGATCAACGAGCTGAATGAAATGATAAGACACATGCTTTCGTTCAAATTTTCTTTTCTTTTGTTTTTGGGCATTTAAATTACGATAATGAGTTTGAAACAAATTTAATACAGGTTTTTTTCCAGCTGAAATTAACATATGCTAGCACGAAAATTAAATTATTTCGCAAGCAGAAAAAAAAGAGCTGTTTTGCTCTTAGCGCTGCCACACTTTTTCGTGAAAAGTGAAAGCAATACGATGTGGTCTACATATTTTAATAAACAAACACTTATAGTGTTTATGACACTTAAGTTCATAGAACGGACGTAGCTAATATACCCAGATATAGAGGAGGGGCGAACAGGCACGTGCAATTGAATTTATTACGATTGTTTTAGCTGGCAGGTGACAAGGGGCTTCTCGTTTTTCTACGACGTAAGCCGACAAACCCCAATAAACTTTATATCATTTTAATTAGCAGAAAATTTGCAATCATACAGTGATTCTCGCTGCCACACTTATTCGTGAAAAGTGAAAGCAATACGATGTGGTCTATACATTTTAATAAACAAACACTCACGGTATCTATGTTTAAAAATTTATAGAACGGACGTGAGTAACGCGCAATTAAAATTATTACGATAGCTTTTTCAGCCTTTCGCTGGCAGGTGCCTGAGGGCATCTTGTTTTTTATGACGTAATTTCACAAATCACAGTTTTTTAGTTTCACCCCAATAAACTTTATATCATTTTCATTAGCAGAAAATTTACAGTCATACAGTGATTCTCGATGCCACACTTATTCGTGAAAAGTGAGAGTTATACGATGCGGTCTACATATTTTAATCAGCAAACACTGACGGTATCGGCGTTTAGAAGTTCATAGAACGAACTCGACTTTTATCTGCAAATAACAAATTTCCCACTGGAGTTCAGTAATTCATGAGACAATTTGGATTAGTAATAGAGAGTAACAGAATAGTTTTTCTGATACCACATTATTAATATTCATGAATATGATGCAACAACTGAAACGAAAATTTGAGCAATAAAGGCGGCAAAGTGTAATTGATATAACGAAATATTGTTAGAGTGTGCCGGCATAAAGTACCCGGCCGATATAGAAGCGGCGAACAGGCACGTGCAATTGAACTTCTTATGATAGCTTTTTAAATAAAACTTATCGTTACAGTATGGATCGTCTATTAAATGCGCTATCAAGATAACTGACTCGTCATTTCACGTCAAAATGAGGAGATTAGTAGGGCTATAACCAACGCAGAGACGTTGACGTAGAATTCTCCATACGCAAACAAAGCAGCCAAGATCCTGTTGTTAAAAATTTTATTCCATCTAGAATGCAACATGTAAAACCATTAATCATTCATTGCAATGATCAACCCCAAGAGGAAATGGTCGACCGTCTTCGCTCTAAGTTTTTAGATTCTTTGTGTTCAAAAAGCTTACCTTTTGCCTGAAATAAAAGGCAGACAGAACGAAGAAATAAGAGTGGCTTCAGCGTACAGAAAGTCAGCAGCGAGATACCCCTGGGTAGTCATTTTTACTGGGATACCTGTGGTATCTTCTTTTAAGGAAGAGTCAGGAGCCGGTAGGGCACAAAACAACCGAAAGTTCCTCTATTGAATTTATCGGGTATCGGATGCTGCAGCACGACAAAATGGCTGCTCAGTCTCATTTACAAGCCATCAATCAACAAAAGTGTCAGACTTTTTCGATATCCTGATTGGTTATCTAGATATCGGTAGTGTTTTTTTCGAGAAGAATATGCGAGTCATGTTGCGTTAATGGACGCAATGGGACAAATCAAATACCAAAATTTCTCGACACACTTTCGTTTGTTATTATTCCTAGGATGATTTGGCGAAATTTAACTTAACGAAAATCTGTCAAATCTATATTCTCTAAAAATTCGGTCAAAAGTGGTTGTATTCCTCCCAAATCAAATTCGAGATTTTAGCTCATAAAGGTTCACAAACAACTCGCGCCACGCCAGGAGATTATCTCGCCTCCTGAAACCACGAACCAATAGGACGATGGGACCTTCTGGCTTCAATGAAGAGTGATCAAGATTTCCCGGCAAAAGTGATCCATTGCAGACACTTATTTTCTCTTAACTCGATCGCTCAGTGGAGCATCGACGAGGACGACACAAAGGCGAAAGAAAAACCTGCGGCAAAAATGGAAAAACCGTAAAATGTGCTGACGAGGAAGTCAACGAATCGAGAGCTCCGCCAGTACCAGTCGCTTTCCTAAAGGAATTTTTTTCTTTTCTTAACAGAATGGTACTCTTTCTTTCTTCTTTGGGCCTGTTTTTTTAACCAAGGACTTTCTTCCACTTTTGATTTTTCCATGAGCAAAGAATTATTCATAAACAAAGAGCTTCCACGTGTGAATTTGGTAAAGTGCGTAATGTAAACAAAATTTGGAAATAACAGAGAAATCGAGCCTCAACGTGAGTGTAGCAGATAATTTAGTGTTAACAAGTGGGTTGAAAACGTAAATTAGCCAACGTAAAGGGTAAAAAAGCTACGGTGGCTAATTTACGTTTTCAACCCAGTTGTTAACACTAAATTACCTGCTATACTCTCCCACCGACGCAGCACCACAGTTTCTTTAGAAACTTACCCCTTTACTCAAGGTGAGTGGTTGCTGCGAAAATTCCCCCGGGGGATTCGCCTCAGTCCGAGACCGACACCTCCCTGATCCATTAACTTTTTTCCGAAAGTAAGCTTTTCTAAATAACTTGGGTGTCTTTAAAGATTTCAGGAATTTTTTTTATGGAAACGTTAGGTTGAATCTTTGAATTCAGTTTTGTCAAATAACAGAAAAATCGATTTTTTCGGCCTCTGAAGGTGGGAAGTAACCTTACAGTTAAATGTATAAAAAAAATTCACAGAATTCCCTTCCTTTAATAGACACTTGACAAAAGTTTCTTATCCCACGACGTTTTGAACTATCCATACAGAAACTCGTTTCCCTTTAACTTCCGGAAGCGATTAACATGAAAATTCTCTCTACAATATCCATACATTATCCAGCAAAGGGCAAGCGAGAAAACCCAAACTTATCAGGTAGAAGTTGTTATCTTGATCTAATACCAAATTCGTCTCACTTATTTGCCAGTAATTGTGTAAAAGCTGGAGGGGAGAATATACAATCAGATCTTGGAAGTTAAAGGGTTAAAAGACTATTTGGGAAACTGAGATTGAGGAGATTACCCTGAGTGTCAACATAATTCATTTTCACTGTGTTTTAACTGATAGGAACAACACTTGATGGTCAAGTCTCTCACTAAGGTTTCTGCACAGTTACAACTAATTCAGTTCTCTCTCTTTTTTTTTTTTTCAACATAAAATCTTATGCAAACTTACTTCAACTTTCAAACAAGCATCACAGCGATTTTTGTTACTGACTTCTAAGTTTTCTCACAAGCTTTAAACAGAGACTATGTGACGAGCTATCTTTAGATCTGTTCTATCAAATAAATGTGTTCTATTACTAATAATAATTATTAAATAATTCAGATGATGGTCACATGTCCTCAGTTGTCTTTCTTATCTTCTCCTGTTTTGTTCTCGTCTTTCCCCAGCTTGGCCTGATGGAAGAAAAACAAAAGTAATTAAAACGAACCTCAGGTGGGTAACGGTAACTGGTAAAATGTCAATCTCGACTCGAAACTCGAACTTGGAACCTCGATTCTCGAAATATTCGGGAATCGAGAGTCGAATTTTGAGGCTGGAGGATCGAGTTTCAAAACGCTCAAAAAGTTTTACAAGAAAACCAGTTGATTCTCTTTACAATCCTAGTTCCTTATTTCTTTACGGTAAATACTCCCATAAATCTCCTTCTACATTAATTCTGCGTCCTTTCTAGAACCTCTTATTCCCAATGAGCCGGCCAACATTATCAGCGCTTCGGCACGAGTGTTTCTTCGTCCGCAGGATATGTGAAGCCTTGGACAAGTCACAAGCTGGCTCACGTCTGTGTTTGACATCGATATAAAGTACTAGTTTGTTTCAAAATGACAGGACCTGTCATTTTTTCACCAATCAGAATGCTGCATTCGTGGGCGAACGCAGATGATGAAAAGACAATAGCGTCCTTTCAGGCCCTCATTATTAGTGCCAGATCCCAGGTTAATCGCTTCTCGACTCCTCCCAACCCTCCTGCGGGCGGACAAAGGCGTGTCCTGCAGCGCAAGTGACAAGGGCCTGCTCTCAGGCTAAACCCATCTACACCCATCTCCCAGCCCTCCCCTCCCACCTGTGCTTTAGCATATTCCTTCAAAAGCTTGTCGTATTCCTGTGTCAGTTCAGCATGCCGTTCTTTCAATGCAGCCAAATCTTTCTTTGTCCTTTCAAGCTCTGCCAGGATTAAAACCAAACCAGAAAAGGTCAAAAATGTGCAACAAATCAGATGTGAAACGTTCCCTGAGCTTCAAGCAGTTTGTTTATCTTTAATTTTGAGTTCTGATTGGCTCCTTATGATATTTCTTTACTACTGGGCTGTTGTTACTATCTTGATTTTGGTTTTATGGTTTTATGGTTTTATAACAGTAAACCACCAACCTTTGCCTCTAAGGGTGACAGACATCTAATTTCTTTCCACAATATTACCCCTGAATCACACATTCACCTTTTAACTTCCAAGATCGCATTTAGTAATTCACCTTCCCATCCACCATACAGTTCTTGTGGAGTTAGTTAGAAGAATTTGACATTGAACTCATAATCCCCTGATTGATATTTTTCTTTATTCTCATCACTTATCTGCTTGATACTGCATTGATATTGTAAGGAGAAATTCCGTCTTTTTCACTTATGGGAGTTAAAGGGTAAAGGAAATGATCACCCGCTAAAGAAGCTCTTGACTGGTAAACAAATTCCTTTTGTCAGCATTTTAGGAAATGCATAGAGAACAGTGTAGAGAAAATACATCCTGATGTTTAAGGGGGCTTCCTTTTAGCTGCTTAAGAACACAGTTCCTTGAAAATTATTTGATAGCATTTTATGTTATATCAAGACAAAACCTGTCAACTGATTGGTTGTGTTTTCTCATTACCTTTCTGCTGGATGATGTATAGAAATTGTATGGAGAAGTTCACCTCCCTGGAGCGATCATCAAACAGTCAACTTTCTGCTCACAGTATCAATACATTTTAGTGCAGAAAGGCAATGAGACATGAAAAAAAAAGCCTTTAACTGAGGGTCAATAAATCCTCAGAGCTAAATTTTAAAGACATGTTGGACAAACAGTATACAGAATACATTTGAGATCATAGGAGTGAAGGGTTAAATGGTTGAAGACAGTTTAACCTTTTCCTTGCCCCCCCCCCCCTTGTTAAAAAGTGTCATACTTAGCAGCACCTTCAGATCGTTCAGATAGCTCCTTGGATTTATCTTCCAAGGCTTCTCTCAATTCTTTGTGTTCTTGGTTTACTTTATCTTCATCTTTCTTCCCTGTCTCTGCCTCGGACAGAAGCCTTGCAACATTACGACGTAGCACTCTGTGAAGGGTAACAAGGTGAAAATTTATAATAGCCACAAAAAATGATTTTCAAAATTTCCTTACTTTTCCATGATAAAAAAGTGTTATCAAGCAGACTGATCATTTTCAGGTAAGTGATGCTAACTTCTTTAATTTTCCCATACCATGAGTCACTTACTATTAATAGTTCAGTTTTCCTCATTTCCATATATAGACTTTCAACTAAGAGATCCATGGTAGAATTTTGGGCTCAAACTCAAGTTAAATGGTTCCTATAACATGCCTCTTGCCTGGGACTCACTTATTTCAAAAGCAATAATTAAA